CTGGGGATTCGTTACGCGTCTCAAAGTCGAATGCCGAAATGGCATTTTAACATGAGTTTGGCTTTCATTAATCAACATTGAAAAGGTTGCACTCTTCTCGCTCTCGGTGTTCGAGGATGCACTTGAGTGGGCGATATATACTTGTCCGTCCGTCCATGGAGTGAGTTGAGGTTCCCCTACTTAACTGTCCAATTGAGTGCATCAAGCATTATAATCGGGCTCTTTTTATATGGTAATATTTATTTAAGAGCACTGGGGACTGGCAATCGTGGGAATGGGAATATTATTTTAATGATGGGTTCTAGCTTTTCGTTGTTTAAATTCGAATTTGAGTCGAAGTGTAATGTAAGTTGATAATTTTGTTAATTTTTCATTTGTTTATGGGTAATTTAAAGATTGTAAACAAATATTGGAAAGGGGAAAACATGTGGGAAGAGAATAATATCAATTTATTGTAAATATGTATATCGCAAAGTTAAATGATCGATTTATTATGGATATTTGTGTTAAATATCGATACAGAACCGGAATATTGGTATTATTTACCATTCTATTTAAAAGCTTAAACTAAGTTTGAAATATTTGCTGCCATTGCTCGATGTATTACATTGAATATAGGTTTATATATTTTATCTATTTTCTGCCATCAATGAGAATAACAGTTTCCCAAACTTGTGTCCCCCAAATTCCTTTTCTTAGCAACTGTTATCATTTTCATAGAGCGTCTTTAGTATCATTTAATGTTTATTAAAACTTCGTTATTATCTTGTAAATGTGCTTCTTCTACTTTTAATTGTATTTTCTTCATCTCTGTCCATCTCATCTTCATCTATTCCTCAATTATCGTTTCATTTTCCACGCTCTCTCTTTCCGCCAACCCACTCCACTTTGACCCTCTGCGATGGCAATTTTCACTTAATCGTTTTTCCTCCCCTCTGCTGCTGCTGCTGTTGTTGTTTCTCAATTTTCCGGGGAGTTTTGCGTTGCGTTTTTCCCCTGTTTTCTTTTTCTTTTGCCTACCTGAGTTGCAGGAGTAGTTTGCTTTGACAGCTCTCTCAATTATGCACAGGTGATTGTAGTCCCATTAGGAAGGACTCTCTGGCTGCCTTTTTTCCCTGGCAACAAAACAATAGAAATTAAATAGGGATACACACTGGGTACACCCTTTGCAGGTGCGCGTTGTTTCATGTTTCAACCTGTTGTGTGTTGGTCCCTTTTAGCATGCATACTCGTGTTACTTTTTGGGGTCCTTTTGTTGCTTATTTCCTTGGTGCTTAAAAAGAAACTCCTTTGCCATTTAAAAGAACATCTCTCTTGGAATTTTCCAACTGCTAAATTATGCAAGAAAAATAAAAAGTTTCTCAACAAGCTGAAGGAATAATTAAGTTAATTTGAAGTTGGAAAGAATAAAGATTTCCCATGTCAAGAAGAATTAACCTCAGGTTAGGTTCTATCCGCACTTTGTGGTCTTGCCAGACTTTCAACACCCGTCAGTTGAGTCCAGTTTTTATGGGTTTCTTTGTGGGGATTTATTTATTTTCTGATTTTTTTTTTGCCCTGAGGCTTTGGTTTCGTAAAAGGTTCGAGAAACGGCGACTGCATTTTGGTTAATCAGTTTGATTAATGTTGCCCTAATTGACTTTCACTCGGCATGGCCTTTCCATTTCGTTTATAACACGCATTTAAGCCAGAATTTGGCAAACCAGTTCCAGGCCATACAACTCCCCTTTCTTTTCGTTTTTAGTTTAAGGAAATTTCCATTCCAGTTTTGTAAGATGTCGATTTAATTGCCGAGGCAATTTTTAGCTCGTTTTTAGTGAAAAATCAGAAGCAGCTGCTGTTTTTGTGCATCTTTATTTCGCCACATGTTGGGAATGGGAAAGGGAGTGAGACTTGGGACATGTGTTCCTCAACATTCGCGCAACCTTTGGTATCGAGGGGGATACACATCGAGTATTTGCTCCACACAGGTTCATTGACCCTTTATTTTTCCAAGGGAGCAGGGACCAGGAAAAAGTCAAAGTAGAGGAGAAGTCATGTCGTCCGCAATTTTGTCCGCAAAAAGTTTATCAAAAGCGCCCAGTAACCATAACTAGTCATACTTCCTCTCCTTTCGCAGTTATGTTTAGAGTTCTACTTTTCATTTCTACATCCATTTCGGTTCAGTTTTCTGCTCAGTTTTCAGTTTTCTGTTCAGTTTTCAGTTGGCTATTCACGAGAAAGTGGCACGACATGTTCTTCCGCCTCCTCCGCGGCAACGCTGGGTTGGCGTGTTCAGGAAGCATCGTCGTCTGGGCGAAAACTGGGTTGGATTTGTAGCCAGCAACCTGACAGACGCCGGATGTCATCTAACTGTCGGTCTATTTTTCCAGCCCCTCCTCCTTCTCTCTGCCCCAATCTTTCCTTTTAGTTAGCTTCCATTGAGTAAGCGGCTGTATTTTCGCCCACTCTCCCTCTTCATTTATGTGGAATTTTTCACTTGTCTGTGGCAGTTGGCGGGCTGGAATTACATTAGCTAATAATGCACAAGGCACTCTTTTCAGTTGGACTTGGAAATTACAGAAGAAGTAATTCAGGAGATGGTTTTGGGTGGAAGATTGTGGTGTTTTTTGGGGGGTAAAAGGTCAGTGGTTTAGTTTTAATCAAGAGAATGGTCGGTTTTTGTTGGATTTTCTTTTAAAAATATAATAATAACCTTAAAAGGTGATTTATAGTAATATTTTCAAATCTTAAAATTTGAAACCTATAAAGTACAAGCTCAGTGCATTTTAAATAAATATATGCAGCTTTTATTTCCCTAAAAAACCCTTCCCTGTAACCGATATATCCTTTTTTCACATACAAAAAAACCTTCCCCAAGCCAAAGGCATATCATTCACGAGGCCATGACAGGCTTAATAAACTAAGTTAACTGGAGATGCCGAAAAATGTGCGCCATTTAAATTTTTATCCCTACCGTTCGTTCGCTCTTTTTTCGGCATCGTCCTGAACTGGCATTCCACTTGACGGCACTTGAGCCCGACATCGTCATCGTCCTTACGCCAGGGGTAATTTTTGCACGTGTGCCGACACTTGACGGGAAGCGATGGCTTTGGCTTCCAGGGATTCAAAAGGGGAAACGGCAAAGGAGGAACAATTCCTGGGCCAAGACGATGCAACAATTGGCGGTGGGGAAGACCTAAAAGCGCTGCCAGCTCAATTAAGTCAACTTAATTGGCCTAATTGACTTCAGACTTTGGCCAACAAAGGCTCCCAAAAAGGGGAGTGGGTCGGTTGGGGGATTACTTTGAGAGAGTGAAATTTTAAGACCGACAGATAAGCACGTTGTGCCGGTCGTCTGTCGGGTTAACTTTTGGCCCCGACTTATCGCGGCAACCCAGAAAAAAAGATCTATCCAAACAACAAAGTGAGGCAACAACAGAGACGCAGCATAAAAACCCCATCAACAACACAGCGACAGCGTTGACACAAAGACCTCAAATAAACAAGCAGCAATTTGAAAATAACAAATAAAAAAAAAAACCTTACACGCACACAAAAAAATAAAAAACAAATGCTTTTGAGGAAGGGGAGGAAAAAACAAACTAAAACTGAAATTCAAGAAAAGAAATTGAACTTCCTTTTTAGCTTCTCGGCGACTTCAAGTTTGATAAAAAGCGAAGAGCAAATGTGTGTGCACAGGGAGAAAAGTTGTAAAGGAATTAGAATTTATAAAAAAAAGTTAATACAATTAATAAAGGGATTTATATATTATATTAAAGATAATAGAATATATACAAAATAAAAATAAATTTGTTGTGTGAAAATCCCACACATGTCCTCATATAATTCCCAACTGATTCATGTGGAAGTGAATAGATGTTTGTGCTATTACATAGTTACTTATCCTAAAAGTAACTAATTTTTGTTCTCTCTGTACTATTTGAATTCGCTTTATGTAAACAAATCTTGTGAATAAAAAGCCAAAAACTTATTTGGGTTAAACAAGAAGAACAACACAAGGAGGAGGAGGAGTAGGAGAAGGCGGAACCATGAGCCAGCAGAAATTCAAATTCAACTTGAAAATTTGTAATGAAAATGAAATCGCAGCGGGAAAAGCCAACTCTTGTCGGCCAATTGAGATTTGAAATTGAAACTCGCACACACACGTACTCACAGGAAAATCTACAAGGCGATCCGTTAAATTGGCGCTGCTAATGTGCGAGTTTTTATCCGATGATGATGAGTGATGAAGATGATGATAATGTCTGTAGACATGGAGCTGCTAATGGTTCCAATGATGACGATGAGTGAAGAAGAAGCTAATTTTAAAGAGGCTGCGGCTCTAATGGAAAGTCTCGAAAAGCTGACTTCCGTATTTGTAGAATTGGTTTTGTCTGGGTTTTACAGTGGAATTGGAGCAGAACTATACTAGATAATCGATATTGGGTTTTAATAGTAATGTGTAGTTATTAGGTTGTTTTTATAAGAGTGTTGCTAATCGAATTTTGGTTTGGTTTTAGGACTTAGGACAAGTTAATATTTAGGTTATTGTTTCTATAATTTGATCTTCGGAAAGTGTTATGGATTTTAATAATTATTGATTTAGTAATTCAAGCTATATATTTTCAGGAAGTATAGATTGTTGACTATTCTTGAATATTCAATATCAATTTAATTTAAAACAGTTGTCGTAATAAAGAAATAGATCAATATAAAACTTGTCTTGTTTTTATCACAAGTTCAGCATTGTTTTGCTTCCCTAAGTCATGGTTTCCTCTATAAATAAATCACCTAACAATATTTCATTTATGGCTAAATATAAATAATTACCGGGTTTATTATAGCCTTGTTTATTAGACCTTTTTTTTTTGGCTGTACTTTACACTAGCCTCACAATTAACCCAAACGATTTTATTTAGTACCCAATTATAGTAAACCTTAAGCAAAAGTTTAACTAGAATTTAACTATAGTTTCCAACTTGAATTACAACTTTCCCATCTATACATTTCACTTTCAGCGGAGACGCGAACGCGGACGCATCCATTTGAAGGGCGTGCGGCTTGTGGAGGAGGCCACTGTCAGCGGGGAGGGCGGCGATCCCTCGGCACCGGATGTGAGTGGCCAGAAATCGATGGGAGTAGCTAAAGTTTGATTAACCAACATTGTGCTCTTCCATCCAATCCAGGGTTATCCGTTCCAAGTGGGCTACTGTGAGATCTCTGCGTCGGCAAATCCCCAACAGCTGTTGGAGAACGGCGGAGGAGGTGCAGTTGGAGTTGAGGGCCAGCTGAATTTCCGCTCAGCAGTGCCACAGTACACACTCTACGTGATAGCCACCAGCGAAAAGGAGCGCAGCGAGTGGATCCGTGCCATACGCCAAGGTGAGTCTACGTCTTCTTTAACTACTAATGAACCCCAAAAAATTAGAGAAGTGCAGCTGCTTTTTGACCAAATCGATCAATCAATGGTTATAATGAAGAGCGGGCCTTAAAGAAGAGAAAAGGTTTTTAAAAAGGTTTTTATTTATATTTAATAATATCGTTTTGTTTACATCTTTTTTCAGTTTGCGAAGATAGTAATACTCCCAAATCCTATCGCTATCATCCCGGTTTGTGGTCCGGCAAGAAGTGGAGTTGCTGTAAGGGATTATCAAGAACCACATTTGGCTGCCGAGCTGCTGCTCATTGGAGAGAGGCCAACAATAATCCAAGTAAGTTAAACAAAAAGCTTTTTACTAAAATTAAGTTATTGAATATGAACAAGAAAAATAAAAGTGAAAATCTAGCTTTAAAACAAAAAACTAACTAAATATTCCTAGATCTCCAATATACTTCTTGATAAATTGCTGTATATAAAACATAGTTTAGGAATTACATCATATTTTAAAGTATTTAAAAAAGAAGAAACCCAGAAATATCTAAGAATTCTATATTTATTATATATAGCTTACCCTGTGAACATTTTATTCCCTATTTTATTACAATTTTCAACCCTCCCCGAAAACATCTACTTTAAGAGAAAATAATCACACCCCAGCTGGGAGCCCAAGTTGAAGTACCTCTTGAGGCTAGCCTTGACTGCAGTGACGACGACTTCCTTGCCAGGCAAATGTCATTGTCAACTGTAAAGGAACTTCCCTCAGAAATCTCGGGGATCCCTCCGAAATACTCTTCTTTGTATCTGAACAATTTTTTTTTCTCACTTATCGCCCCTCGGTTTTCACATGTTCTGAGTTTTGCATTTGCAACGCTTTTCCTTTTTCCTGTCGTCAGGCCTTATTTGACACATTGTCTGGCGGTGCCAACTGGCTTCTTTCCTTTTATTTTCCCCATTGCTTATTGTATGTGCGTGTCTGGAGTGCCAGGCTCTTCTGCTTTTCCAAGCCGTTAATGAGCAGAGCAGGCTCGCCACCGCCAAGCCTGGGGAGAGAGAGAGATACTCGCACTTCTGGTTAGAGAAAAAAATGTATATCTGGGAGCTACGCACATACACTCTGGCTCTGCGGTGTGTGTGGCCGGAATAAATACTTTTCAGGGACGGGGGGAAATATGGTTAAGTTAAGTCCACAGAACTCTATTGCCACTTGGCACCTGGTAAAATAACAGTCTATGTCTATTGACTGGCTGCGAATTCCCAATAATGTGTCTGTGGTCTGCAAATACTAGTTGGCTTAAAACGTTTGTCTTTTGTTATTTGAGTGCCCAGGGAAATGCAAATTTTGTGTACAGAAAACTGCAGTTTTCTTTTAATATTTTAATATATATATTTTATTTATTTTTGGTGTTATGTTGGTCTTTAAAATGAAAACAGGAAGATACCTATCTCTCCACAATTCTTTATCAACCTCACGAGACTTTTTGTTTGATTTTCTCCCGATTGTGTCTAGGTTTTTGAGTCATCACAACAAATCTTTTGGTTAGCTGTAGATAAAGAATGGTTTACATAAAAACAGGAAGGGGTTTAGAAAGACCTTTTGTACAAAAAATCTTTGGAAAATAAATACAAAACCCCAGTTCCTAAAAAGAAATACTTCTTTACGTTTTGATCTTATGATAAAAGGTGTGAGAATGGAATGTAGTAAACACCTTCTGGCAATCCTTTAGCTCTCATTATCTGATTTTTTTTTTGTGTTTGTGTTCATCAACTGTCATAAATATTTTGATGTCGATATAAACCAATGGCGACCTTAACCCCTGACCCCCGACCTCCTGCGGCAGCTGCAATAATTGTTGGAACAACTTTTCTCATTCGCCAACAGCCCGCAGATGTCAAGCTGGATTCTTCTGATTGCTCATTTGTGTCATCAGATTAGATTGGGAAATGGAAAAATATAGAATGGAAAATGGGACTCCACCCTACTCCAAGCCATGTGTGAGCATACTCTGTCTCAGTTTGTTTGACAGTTTCAACGAATTGAGGGCGCAATATCTTCTTCATGAGGATTCTTCCTCAGTTTTTTTCTGCTTTTGGGGGAACATCAATTAGAGGCGTCACTTTAAATTGCCGTTAAGTCTGCCAATTCTGGCCAGTCATTGGGGGGAACCACAAGGGATCCAAGGGTAACCATTGGGGAACTCCTCCAAAAAAACGTGGCGGATATAACAATAAAAATCAGGTCGCCTTCATCTTCATTTATCAGGCGAGCAAGACAATGAAAGTGGAATGACTCCGACTCCAATTCCGACTTTGGCGATTGCGGGAGCTTGTCAGTTGCCGTTACAATAAATTAGCCTGTCAATTCCTACCGCGCCGGGTTATCGCTTTTAGCCCTTTCCTTTGAGTTCTCCAGAAATTAATTACGCTGGAATCCTTTTCCTGCGTGCATTTTGACTTTCGCCGCGTGCCAACACAACGCCTCTGGAATGGATGATGTGTTGGCCTTGCTGTAATTAAAAACATGTCTCTTTAAGTGGCCAAAAATAAGAGGAATTGAGTAAGAAATGAGTAAGAGGAAAAGTGTTGAATTTATGGGTATAACGAGGGATTATAATAATAAATACAGAAGTGAAATTGGTAGTAAAAATGTACAGGGGAAATGAAAAGAAATGTTTTTAAAAGTACGATAATATTTTCTAAATATTTTGGTAAAAGGAGAAATATTTAGAGAAGGTTTTTAAAGGGATACCCCTCCCAATAAACCCCAGCAAAATGTAGGGAATTCCCCAACTCTACTCACTGAAAAAAACTTAAATAAATGAAGTAATAAACCTCAAAAAACTGAACAATATTATTAGACGAAAAGCTGAAATAACAACAGTATTCTAGCTGCAATTTAACGATGTCATTGCTCTTTCTTCTCCAGATTCTTTTATATGTTTTATTGTGTTTCGGTTTTCCCTAAGTAAAAAAAAACCAAGATTTATGGCTCTCATTTTAAGTGCCACAAAAATAGTTTCATGTTGTGATTATTATCAGACTTTAAGAATTAAAAGGAAAGAAAAGGGGGGAATGTTAACCCATTAAAAAAGTGAACTCGAAAACAAAGAAAGGCAACGAAGGAAACGTTTTAAAATAAATGTAAATCTACAAATTCTTTTTTTTAATATTTCACCAAGATATTAAATTCAATTTTGTGCATCTTTATATGTTATTTTAAACACCCCCAATGAAGGCAGGAGGAGAAGAAGGCAGTAGGCTTCCTTTTTGGCCAAGTGCCCACTGGCCAGTTGTCCAAAAAAACAGGTTTCCTTCCAGTTTTAGTTTCGGATGTATCCGCAGCCGCAGTTCGATATTTAAGAGAGCCTCAAGAGAACCTCTACAAACCAAAAAAAGCTGAAAAACCAAACTCAAACTGGTTTTTATTTTGGCTCTGACTCCGGCTCTGGCTCTGGCTCTTGGGCCAATTGTTTAAGCCTCGAATGGAAAAAGTAAATAAAAAACAACAACTGCTGCCAGCAGCAGCCGTATCTTTGTATCTTTGTATCTCATTGGTAGTATAAGTATGCTTGTGCCTAGGCACGTGCATTGAACTTGGCTTAAGAAAACTAGGATGGAACTCTCGGCTCAGAAGATCTTCTGAAAGAAAGGAGGAGTATCCTTCTCCTGTCTATCTGTCTGTCCCCCTGATGATTTGATTAATTTCGCTATTAGTTGATCTCTCTCTGAGCTGAGACGTCCGCCCTGCCATTTGATTTGTAATTAGCTGCCCCTTGTTGTCTCCTGCAACAGCAGCCTAGGTCTCTTTGGCGAAAAAGAAAACCGAAATGCGTCCGGGTGACTGACCATGAAAACGGAGTTTAAGGCCTCTGTAACTTTGAAACAAAGTTGTAGGGCACTTTGAAAAATATAAGGGAATTTGTTTATAATTTATTTTATATAAAAGTGAGGGTACTTTTAACAATATTTTAGAACTTTATCTTACTGATAAATTATAGCTAACATAAAATCAAATTTCAAGTTTTAAAATATTAGTCATTTTTACAATAAATGTTTGGAATAGTGGAAAAATCTGTGTATATAATAGATTTTCTTCAAGTGTTGATTGCCTGAATTGCGTTGCCTGTTCCCGTTCTTGAAAACCAATCCGCCAGACAAGAAACGCGCCTTTGTGCCTTGTTTGTACTCTAACAAAGAGTATTAATATTTTAATAAAATGTTTTTTAAATTATAAAAGAGTGTAAAATGTAGAAATATTATAGAAAATGAATATATACTTGATATAGTCTCTATAATAAAGATATTTCTCTATGATTTTATAGATAAAAATATAAAATACAGAAAAAACACTAAATTATGTATCTTCTCTCTAAAAAAAAATATTAAAAATTCTATTTAACAAAAGTAAAGAGCTACCTTGTCTTTTATAATTATATATTTATATAAAAATCCACTCTAGGTAATTTTAAGGGGATATTCAAATATGTATAAGCTTATTTTTATAGACTTTTAAAAACATCTTTTTAAACCTTTTTTACAAGGGTATTTAAACTTCCACTTTCCTGATTTATCTCCTCTCCTCGCTGATGTTATTTTGTGTGTTAGTTGCTGCTTCTTTTTTTTGTGTTATGTTGTTCCCTGCATCTTCAGTGGCTGGTGGCATTGGTTGGGACTTGGGTTGGTGGCTCCAATTCTCGATGCCTTCGACCTGCTGCCCAATGTGCCTCGCTTTCCAGCTTCATTCTGTTCTGGGTTCGGTTTGGATCTTTTGAAAAGTTTTAGGCCTGCGGTTCCCCCCTACAGTTGGCCATCCTGCCATGATTAATGATGCGTTCTGTTGTGATTCGTTCTAAACGTGGGAAATCGGCAGCAGAAGTCGCCGAGCTTTCAAACGACCCTTCCCTGTCTCGGCCCGTTCTCTTTTGTTAACTCAGTTGCTTGCTCTTAACCTTTTCATCTCGCAAAAAAAAAAAAGCAAGAAAAGACCACGCAATAATTATTTTTGGCCATCGTCATACATAATTTCTTAAACACAAATTTCTCAAGCAATTAATTTCTTTTCACGCAAAATCTCTGACAGGTGACAAGCGAATGATTTTCTATAATCTGCCATTTGATATTGCATAATCGCGTAAGGATTTGTTATGCTAATCTTGGGATTATCTACAGAAAATGATGTGAAATTGGTAAAGAAATTCTCAGCAGGTTTTAGCCAGTTTGATTAGAGGCATTAAATCAATGGTTATTGACACAGCTCTTGAGTTCTATCAGGTTGATGGATGGCTTATGTAAATCTTTCTAATTATCTTTCTTTGAAATTTAATATTGATTTTT